GGGTTGTTTTCTTGCAGGTGGGGTTGTTTTCTTGTAATTGTTTGTCTGAGTGCTTTTGACCAATGATCTTGTGTGAAACACTATCTGCCCCTGTTAAGTTCACTATAAAAGTTAGGCTATTCAGGCAATGAAGTGGAGCATGATCTGACTCTACTGGTGTCTGTCATGCTTTTGGCCGTGCTTCCTGCAACAGTGCCCAGGTAGACTACTAGCTTATCTGCCTGCATACATGCACCACTATGCAGCGATATTACAGAGCTCTCTGCAGACCTTCAAAGTAATTAGCATGGGCCATTATCCATGAAAATGCACATTACATTTCTTTTAAAAAAGTCTCATAAGGCATTGTAAACTGAAAAGGATCCCATGTCTCAGCAACCAGCACCTTCTTTTGCTGACAGTGAAGAACATTTTGTTTCTGAAACACGGCTCCTATTATCATCACATTTTGACTCACCAGCACTTAGTACCAGCTTGTAGTTGATAGTTTTAATTTCCTGCTAGTGCAAACGCATGGCCTTGTTCCAAACCTGAAGCTCATCCGCCAATGTAACACATGAAGTATTGCAAACTTAGATTTCAGTTAAATAATTAATCCATATTCTCTGCTTTCCAGAGCCACGAAAAATGCAATATCTCTGAGCTGAGTTCTGACCTTCATTACATTGAAAATTAAGGTAAAAATCACCATTCTGGATTCTGCAAGTTCCACTTTATTGCTTAGATATATGATAGACAAAAGAAACCTGAATCTATCATTCAGGATGCTTGCAAAATTGCTGGGTCAGCGTGTTTGTTCACATGCGGCTGCCACGAGTGCAACAATATTGCAGGTCCTGTATTTTAACTGCAACAGAAAAAACTGCCCTAAATTTATTGGCCCAGTAGAATTAACTTGCAGCAGTGGCTGCCAGCTGCTTTTCACTACACTAATCAAGGATCAACACGATTTCTTTGCAAGAGGGTCTTCCAATGCCAAAGGTTAATTTCTAACACAATTGGCTAAATTAAGAGAAATTCTATAACAGCATCACTAACGTAAAGGCTGGATACCTCAAAGCCCAGTCTAATTAGCACAGACAGAGAGCAGGGAGAAGGTCGGGGTGGACAAGATCTTCCGCTGAAGAGAAAGTAGGAACCAGGGATCCGCATCACCAAAATGCTCAAGTTGCTTTTACACTTCCAGATGTGATCTGCTGCATTCCCTGTGATGCTTTGGGTGGCCCCTGCAAGGAGAGGGGGGTTATGGGCAGCTTTCACTCACCGGTGGCTGCTGCTGGTTGTCCAGGCATCAGCTGGCAAGACTTCCTGCCTCCCCTTTCTGTCTTTTTCTCCATCATTACCTGTGCAGTGCCAGGCCGTGGGATGGTATCTCAGGCACGTCTGCCTGGAGTCTCTAGAGACTCCTCATCGGCTGCAATTAAAAAATGGTTGGGCTTAAAGTTTTTGGCACCAACTAGGTGTTTGTAACCAGCCCCCTCCCAGAAAAGCTTTCTATTGCACTAAGCCAGGAGTTTCATTCTCGGTGCTACTAGGAGGCTTTGCTAACTTTCAGTTTGTCAGGCACGGGTGGCAGAGGCAATGCAGGCTTCTCACAGAAGAGGCTCTTTGATTCTGGATTTGTACGTCGTGCAGCACTTTGCAGTCCTCATTCGTGACAAAGTCTCCAAATTGCACAGAGGAGCAGGAACAACAAGTTAAAGACAAGCTGATATCTTTACAACCAAGCATCAGGCTCTAGTCTGGCCTTTGGTGACATGGCCCTGGCAGAAAACCTCCTGTTTTCTTGCTTGCATTATTATTTTCTGCAAAATGGATACTGTCAGTGCAGCAGAGGAAATATTCGTGCCCATATATGAAAAGCCAGTGCATTGAGATGAAGGACTTTTCACACTACCTTGCAACACACAACCACGCTGTGCCTCCAGCTGCTTGGAAATATCACTCCAGACACTCAGAAAACCCTGAAAAACATCAGTTAGTGTTCTTCCTTTCCATCTGTACAAATCTGGAAAAATCTGGAAGGCTGAGCTTTTTAAGCAAAATATACACTGGGGACCTGGGAAGAGGAATAGGTTTGATAGCACTACCCCTTTCGAACAACAAGAAAATTAAGATTTTTCTTCACCCTTTTTTCTTCTTCCTTCTGGAAGTCTCCCTAAGAGTTCAAGCAGTTAAAGAGGTAAACTTTTTGTCCTCAGAGAAAGACAGAGTGATATTTAATCAATAACAGCCTTAATCTTTACTGCAGATTGAAAATCAATAGGTAGCCTCACAAGATCTGTTTCAATGGAGATATACATGTCATCTAATTAAACCACGTTCTCCCCCAGTTATTTAACACAGCTTTTATGTTCTAGCATAGCTAAAACAACACCACCTTGAAACGCCTGCTAGACATAGGCTTGTACTTGTTTTGCTGGGTTTACAAAGCTGCCAGAGACCAGGCATTGTGTCCAAGGAGCGATATGGGTGATGCTTGTTTACGTATACTGAATAATCCATTTTGGGGGTAATGGTTTGGGGAATTGGCAGCACTGAGTTGCTTGTTCATCTGTTCTGCTGTTTAGAAATGCAACAGATGTCGTACTTAAGTATCATGTCATGTGCTGCCAGCAGATCAGCTCAGGAACCATTTCCCATCTTCTACAAGCTCTCACCACCTCTCTGCACATCACCAGAAGGTAAAGAGTCAGCAGCAGCAGGTGAGCCACTCCTTTGCATTCACAGTAGCGATGAAAGAGCCAAGACACTGCAACGTGCAGAAGGAGTTTCTGTCCCAAAAGGAGGAACGGTCATTTCAGGGAGGAAGAGCATGACACTGGGCTGGAGGAAGCCAGCTACATCCAGACCACCAAAAGAATTTCCTTAAGACTTAAGGTTATCGTTTAGTTTCTAATCCTTCTCTCACAATAATATATTTCAGCTTCTAACTGTTTTTCTGGCCACCACTTGCTAACAGAGCTCTGGAGCAAGGAGCCTTGCTGAGGAGAGCTGTGGGATTTAATACCTGAGGGGCAATTTTCAAAATCCCTTGCAGGAGGAGGAGGTCAGGATGCTGTTAGCCCTGTAATAAAAACAACCCACTATCAGCCCAGGCTGGATTTGGTCTCCAGCACAGACATCACAAGCCAACAGGCTGGTGTCAGAGCTTTTACTGCAGGCTTGCCAGGCCTGATTGCAGCCACAGACCAAGAGATCAGCTCCCAAAACATGAGGCCTAAAATCCTCCAGTTCTGACCACCACAGAGCTGTACTTACTAATAACAAGCAACTACAAATTACAGTTTCGCTATCTGTGGGCGGCATGCCACAAAGATTAAAATTTCACCCATTACTTTAGTGCATTGATAAAAACTTGAGAACAGCCAGGTTTCACACTTTCAACATTAACATTTCTAGGATTCAAAAGGTCTTTATAGTGCATGAAGCTTTCACACTTCAGCCAATGAGAAAATAATTTTATAATTGGGTTTCACTAAAATGAAGAATTCTGTTATCCCTACCTAATTGTTTTGCTCTATGAAATTACAGAACCACTGAAACATTTATGTACTCAAGCTACTAGACTTTTTTTTTTTTAAACCCAGACATTCTTCCATCAGAAAGATGTGGTTTTAGTAAAGTAAATATTTTTATATGGAAAATACCATTTGAAAGCATAATAAAACTACATTTTTAACAAATCAACCTGAACAAACTTCTGTTTTTAATCTGGGAACATAAGCACTCCACTGGGGAAAAGGGAAGAAACTTAAAAAGGTGAAAGGAAACAAAATCCAGAAAAGGAAAATGGAAAACTCCATAAGCGCACTGCCAAAGTGGCACTGGAAATTTATAGCAAGTGTGCTTTTGTTTAGGAACTGCTCCGGGAAGCACAGAAGGTGGAAGCAGCTGGTCCAAGTTTACACAGTCAGACAGAGGATCAAAACCCAGGGACGCTCCACTCAGACCGTTTATAGGTCCCCCTCTCTGGCAGCAGCCACCAAAAAGGATCCGGCCTCAGAGCAGCAAAGTTCTGGAGCCAGAAGTGTTTTTTCTTGCTCTCTGCAGGATTGTTTCAGCTCGAAACTCACAGTCACAGGTTCTGGTATGGTAGTGGTATCACACGCATTTGCCCACCTGCATCCACTCAGTCACTGTGCTAGTTGGGATAGATGTTTTTAAACCCCAGGTCAAAAGGCTGGGGACAAATCACACCGATAACAGCCTCTAGATGCCACAGGAGACCAAAGCTCTGACCAGATTTAGGCTGTGATGAAAGGTACTTCTAATTTAATACTGCTCCTATTCAGTTTCACAAATCAAGTATTCAGACCTGGGCTGCAGCATTCCCTTATTAATTCCTTTGAGGGTTCATTTATGCTGGCTATCATTGCTGTGCCTGGTTCCTGCAGAGCCGACCACTGGCTCCACGTCTTACATTCAGGGGAAGGTTCTGCTTCAGCACTGGGCTGTGCTTTGAAAAGCACCACAGTGCAAAATGTCTCCGTGGGTCGCCTTTGTTTGTCACCTCTCACGGGCTCCAGAACATACTGGCTAAATCAATAAGAGCATGTTACAGCAGCAGCGTTTTTTTTTTCCAGCTCTGACATCTTCGTGGCAGATGAAACCCCAAGCTGAGTCCTCCCTTGTTCCTAGAATAAGGCCTCACAAGGGATGAGACAGATGTGTTCCTAAATACACCTTAACTAAACTCATATCCACATGAAGTCAAAGCTACTCACAGTGAGAACAAACTGTCTGGATTTCCTTAATTTGCAAGTCAGGCAATTAAAAGAGGACTCCTGTTTGTACACAAGCAGTTGAGCTACAATCACTCTTCCCAAGGCAAAACCACACTGATTTCCACATGATGATGATGATTCTTCCATTCATGAGAGCTCATTCATCCCTCATGGCAGTGTCGAGAATAACTGTAAATCTTGATACTTCTCCCAGAAATGACTACACTTACAAAAGAGTACACTGAAGTGAAGGGATATCATATTTTTCCTCTCTCTCTCTCTTTTTTTTTTTTTTTTTTTTTTTAAATTTTAAAGAGGGGGGGTTATTTTCTGGCCTATCCCTTCCAGGACCAAGCTTCAACAAAGCCAAGAATTTCCGACGCTGCAACAGCTCATATTGCAGCCCTGCCCTCAGGTTCCTGAGGAGGATTTCATTACAAGCTCTGTCCTCCCAGCTTTCCGTCTCAGGTTTCAAGAATAGGAACAGAGGTGTTTAAATGCACAACTTTTGGAAAGGGGGCAGCGAAGAAGAAAAAATAAGAGTCAGCTGCTCTACCATTTTGCTTAATTCAGAAACACTTTGTGAGGGATAATAAAGTCTGGATATCAGTAAAATTGCATAATCCAGCCACCCACTATCAGACTGCTTCACACAAATTTGGCTATATTTTTCCCCTTGCCAAACTGTTCCTGCAGCAGGCCCCATACTTGGCAGAAACGCTGCTGCTATTCTGGCTGAAGAACACATTTAAGGGGAACACTTTGTTCCACTGTGTTGAATTTATTCTCAGCAAATTCTTCCTTCCTGCTCGCCACGCTCCCTGCTCCTTTCTGGAAAAAGGCACCGACAGCAGAGCAGCCCCGGTCCTTGTCCTGGCTCATTCATCACCAGCCTCCACCTCACCACCTTTTGTTGGAAGCCTCTAACAAATGTCAGAGTCCCGCTGATGAAACCACCTATCCTGCAATAATTCTTCCAAATGGACAGCACGAGAAGTGCTCAGAGCAGGATTCACTTCATGTGCAGTGACAGAAGATGTGTTTAGAAGCTGATCTCTAGCCCAAATACTTTTTTTTAATGCAACTACAAAAAATAACGTGTGTCATTCTCATGCCTCAGCTCCCTCTATATGAACTGCACACAGTAAAATCCCTATGACAGGGATCACTGAGAATTATTGTAGAGGTATGGGGGGATTTCTCCCTCCTCTTCCCATCACATCAGGCCTGTAGACTACTGCAGCAACCTGCTCTTCTCCCTGTCCAAGTTTTCACCATTTCCATTGGGACACGGGGACTAAAAGGGTAGCGGGAGGTGCTTTTAACCCAGACATCTGAAAAGGACAGAAATAGGATTTTTTTTTTTTTTTAATTTGCAAGAAGTACCATTAAATTCCACTTACAAATCACTAAAGATGCTCATTATTCCTAAAACAAAGCTAGAAGGCAAAAGTTTAAATAGCTAAATGCTAGTACCAGGCCTTTAAAATGTCAAGCAAAGAAGCACAGACATGTAGTCTGCCCCTGACTTCAAAGCAATTTTATGTAGACAAAAACGTGCTCATCTGTTTCTTTCATTTCAGTACATTATCACAAAAAATGAAATGGCACGACTTGTAAAGATATCAGTGCTTATATCTAAGTTCACCTTAAAATCATTAATCTTTTTATAGCTTACTTTGTTACTGAACAATTTCTATTCCACATGATGTTCTTCTGAAGGAAATAAACACTTTCAAGTGAATTTAGCCTAACAAGAGAAGTCTGTATAGCATTTAAAATCATTTATTTATCTTTCAAAAAGAAACAGCATACGTATACTCCCCATACCAACTTAGAAATTTGCTTCAAGTTGGTTCTCTGTGATTTAATTACATGTATTCCCAGACCAGCTCCATTAGCTCCAGCTTTGGTGGGTTTACACACGGCTTGGTTGTTCTCTGGGAACTGGTTTGACATCCATCAACAGATCACACCCAAGAGCCATGGAGCATTAATTAACACAGGGTTAACATCAGCTGTGTTCACAAATGAGTTCATGACTCAAAGGTTAAAGGCTCTTCATCAATTCTCCTGATATATCCATGCCAAGACTGCCTTAAAGTAATTTGTGGTGATCGCTACATGCTATGAGCTGGAGGACCTATGCCTCAATAGGGGAGAAAGGGCTATTCCCACCAGGGGGGAACCTACCTGCCTGAAACATGTGAGAATATACCTCTTCCAGTGCATCATCACCAATTTTCTGAGCCTGTCAGAATACAACCAGCCAGCCTAATACCTCTGAGGCAAAAAACTGTTCAGGATGCAGAATTATGTTTGTTTTCCACAGTGGTAAACTATCCTAACATCCCCATTATTTTTACATTTATGTTACTTGAACAAAAAGTGGTCACATCACGTTTGTTGCTGCTCCTGTACCTACCATCCAGGCTTGACTTTGTTCAGAGCTATCAGAATTGAACTTTTAGTAAAACGGGACTTTTTTTCTTGCTAATACACAGCAATAAATCTTGCTGCTGGAAACAGGAAACTTACATTTCTCTGTTGAAAAATAACATGATCAGAAAAATAAGTAACATCCAAATGTCCTTCATGTTCCCAGTTCTCAGAACAGAAGAGAGCTGCAGTAACTTGAAAGGATGCACAGAGCTTTTCTGGCACACTCACGTCCTGACTTGAAAAATTAGAATCATTACTAGCACTCTCTTACCTTGTTGATGAATTCTCAAGTGAGCTTCAGACCTAAATCATCCTATAAACACAGCACACTCTGAGCTCAGACAGGGCTCTCTGGAAAACATTTTGAGAAGCGCTTGAACTTGGTTTCATTACTTACCACTGAAGATGATTTAGGTTGATTGGTTTCTGAATGAAACCAAATGAGCTGAGATCATCCATTTAAGATATCACCATCTCCAGAAATTAAAGGTAAAGATCCTGAAAAACAGTGAGCCTAATTCCTAGAAGAGAGGACAAACAAAGTAAGCAAAAAAAAAATAAACATGGGAAGTAAATCTCTAACTGTTCTGACACTGGAATATAGACTTTAAAATGGGGATAGTTTAGCAAAAGAAGGACAACTTCTTGTGCTTCAGACCAACCCTTGGTTGTATGGAATTTAGGGATATTTTAAGGGAGAGTAAATGCATCAGGAATTAGCAACTACTGAAACTACATGAAAGAAATGTTAAAGAAATATCTAAATACATAGCAGAGGCTGCATGAAAACCCTAAGCCTTTAATTCTGTCATTACCTAACTTGTTACTGCTTGGATTTGAGAAACTCGCAGAATTTGTATATACATGTATAAATTTGTGTATATTAAACAGATTTTTGCTACATTATTTCTTAATTAAAAAAAAAAATAAAATAAAATGCAGGGGAGAATAACAAGGCAGTCAAGCCCAGGAAAGGCCACAGCAGCTCTCTGCAGGGCCCAGCCCAAGGAAGCTCTGAGTGAAGCCCGGTGAGGTGAGCCCAGGGTTAATGACAAACTGACAGCAGCGATCAGCTGTCAGCCTCGCCAGCAGCAGCCAGCCCAGGAAAGGAGCAGGGCTCTGCTCCAGAGGCCTTGCAGCTGTCTGTGGACAAGTGCCGAAGGCAGGGATTCGGGAGGCCTCGATTAGGAGCCAGACACGGGGGTGAACGCGCCTCAGGAGCTGCAGCCCCTTTAGGGGGCTGTGGGGCATGCACTAATGCCACCCCAGGGGTCATTAGCTCTTTCCCGGTTGCACAGCGTGCCAGTTCTTAATTAAATCCCTCCTGTCCTTCTGTCTGCCTTGGTCTCCAGCTGGCTTCAGTGTCCTTTGTGCCAGGGGTGGCCGAGGAGCACCAGGAGCCCGCTGCTGTGGATGCTCCTGGGGACCAAGGCGAGGAAATTCCCAGGCACAGCTTCCCTGGGCAGCATGACAGAGGTGTCCCACGTGGCAGAGCCCCGTGCAAGTGAGCAAGCACAGGACCACTGAGGGGTGCATCTTCTGCACTACGCATCCTGCTGGGCCAAAACCACATTTAGCCTGTTTCTGCATGGAGCAAATGGCTTCCAAGGCAAAACTCCATCAAAAGCAAGCACCCAGCATGGCAAAAGCCTGGAAAATACCCCCAACAAGCCAAATCCCAGGTGTCACAGGAAGTGTGGAGCCATCTCAAACATGTCACCACCACCTGCAGCTCCTTTTCTCTTCACTGCTTCACATCCCCACCATCATTGTGCTGCTGCCCTCTGTCATTCCAGGCATCCCTTGGCAGGGGAGGACAAGTGCGTTGTCCTCAGCCCTCAGTGAATGCACCCATGGCTTTACAAGTCTGTCTGCTGTAAGGGTCACCAGTGACATGTTCTCTTCAGTACCCTGCCTGCTGACACACTACAAGCCTTCCAGTTTGCTCATTATCAGTTTACCGTGGGCAGCAGCCAGCACAGTCTGCTAATTGAGCTTGGACTCACCCCCCCAGGGGCCGGCTGGCCGATAACACAGCTCTACCCTTGCAGCAGAAACTTCTACAAGAGACAGAGTTTACAAAACCTTGTTTCCCTCTCTGGCAGCAGCAACTTCGAATGTTTCTTAAATCAGAAGCATCAAACACTCTCAGCTCTATGTGAACTCGAAGCATCTTCCGCAGAATTTCTGAAGCCTGCAGATAAAGCAATGCAAGATACCCTGCCAGGTACCGAAGCCATAAAGCTTCAAACCGTACAAAGGTGACTGGTTTTCAGCAGCCTATCTGAAGGATTAAACATGAGTAAATCTTCTACCTCATAGGGTAAAACGTAATGAATTTGCACATTTTCTGATGGCTGAAACACAAGCCAGCCCAGTGTGAACAGCTGGAAGTATTAATGTGCAATAATGTAAAAGTAGTAAAATATGTTATAATGACTGCCACTCAGTCAGCAGTAGCTGTGTAATATGAATAAGAAACACTTTAAATCCTTTCTAAATAATTGGCAGTATGTGTTTATATGGGACTGGGGTTGCATATTAAAACACACCTGATTTATTCTTCATAAGCAATGAGTATTTACTAAATCTGTGATAGCTGTATAGATTCAAACCTCATTTTTTAAAATGATTAATTGGTATTTAATTAGTATGCATTAACATATGAGTTATATACATCCTAGTTGTGAATGCAAATATAATTCTAATAATTACATAACTAGTTATGCTTTCAAGAGCCTAATGCATAATGCAGTGCAGACAGCTTCCCTTGCTGGAGAAAAATAGCATGGAATACATACAGAGTAAAATCAAAAAAAATGTTTTAAGTCTCATTTCAAAATGGAAATGGGTCTTCATCAAGAACTCTCTGGGTCTTACAGAATTGCAGCAGGAAGCCAAAATGCAGGGACCCCCAGCAGAAGTGGCTTTGACAGCAGGTGATGAGGGGAGCACAGCTAGCCTGTGCAGAGGGGGGTGCTACAAGGCAGGGCTTGTCGTTGGAAAGAGGAACAAACAAATGTTCAACCCCTTTCCTTTCCTGTCACCAGCAGCTCCTTTTTCAGCCACTTTCTGCAATAGATGCAGAAACCTCCAGCCATGCTGTCTGACGAGCAGAGCCCTTCCTGAGGAGCTGAGCACTCCGCCAGGACCCTGCAGGGTTACACACTGCAGCTGGGGCAGCTTGGCCCCTCAGAGGTGTTTCAGTGCCTAAATCCCACTGATGGTCAATCAAATGCATGGCCCTATATCCCTAAGAGCTTTATGAAAACAGAAGGTGTAGGTTTTTAAAAGCATGTTAGGTATCTAGGAAAAACCTTTACAGTGGCCCCTTTTCTTGAGTAATGAAACTGCCCATTTGAGGAGCATCACAGGGGCTGGAAGAGGCTCTTCTCTTCACTGAGAAATGCTGTTGCTACACCAATTGAAAAGCAACTATTTCTTTCAAGTGCGTAATCAATATTTGAGGTTCTGGAAATCTGTGTTTGACTCTCAGCCAAGTAACAGAGCTGTGACACCCCAAGGACTGAGCAGCGATGGCACCTTCAAACAACAAAGGACGTGCCAGGAAAACTGTCAACGTGAGCTGACATCTCAGCACTTCTCTGGGAGGCAAATGCTCTGAGAGCCTCCTTCCCTTTGGTATCGTGCTAATTCAAAGTGGCAGTGCAAAGAACAACTCCTGGGGCCACCAGCAGCGTGAAGGCTAGGCAAATCGAGTCATAGCACTGCCAGACGTAATGGTCTCCAGTCTCTAAACTGCCAGATGTAAAGGTCTCTAAAATCCACCCTGAGTCCCAGTGGGTCTGTCGGATACTCTTTTGCCTTCTTTCAACTCCATGCTACCAAGAGTGAGAGTTTTTAAAAACAGATTAGGAAAGGTAGGAGGGAACAGGGAACCCTTTGGAAAGTGAAGAATGCCACGTCTTCTGCTATTTCTCCTGTTTAAATTAAAATATTCCAAGCTACAGCCTGGACCCTGAAAAATAAAAGTTGATTATTGCCCCTAGCAGAGAATACCTCTCTTCTATCCTTCTCTCATCCAAGCTATTTGGGATTCAAGATAAGGCTCTTCTTCAGCAGTCAGATCTCCCCTGAAGCTGACAGGTAAAACTGCTGGTGTCCCCGCACATCCTCCCTCTGAGCACTGAGGGAGGCGGAGAAATCCCAGCCCTGCTTCTGGACTTCAGCAAAAATCCACCCCCTAATTGGTGGCTGCGAAGCAAAACTGTCAGGGCCGGTTCTTTGCTCCAACACCACCTCCTATCCCTTCCTTGCAGGAGTCCCACACCTCACACACACTTGCTTCTGGCCCACTTTTTGCAAACTTGAAGGTATTTCTATTTCTACCTGTAGCTCGGGGTATAGGAGCTCTCCTGCAAGCCTTCACGGAAGTAAATATCCTGCTCTCAAGTCCAAGTAAGTCTCAAAAAGGCTGCATTTTTCAATCTGATAAAAACCACTCTGAGATGTGGCATTTTGTCAGAGCTCAGTGACATCCCATGCAGAGCTCCCCAGCCCTTTATCCAGCCCCAGCTCCCCCCAGAAGGAACACAAACCTGCAGCTACATGGCTGCAGCTTTCCCTCCCCGTGTTCTGCCTCCCAGAGCCATGCTTCTGTTTTGTTTCTCCTGTTAAGCCCATTGCAGGGAAATCCAGCTGATGATAAATCCCCCTTTTTTTTTTTTTTTTTTTTTTTTTTTTTTTTTTGCATGTGGGGAATAACGAAGCCTGTTCTTTAATAAACAATTGTACTTGCATATGATCTGGGCTCTCCTTTTGTCATGCTTTGCTCTTTATCTTGTAGAGGTTTCTAAAGTGGCTTCTGTGAGCTACTGCACCCAAAAAAACATTCAATTGCTCCTGTCCACTGCAGCCACACATCCGTGGGCCACCACTGCCCGAGTCGCCCTGGCAGTTGCTACCAGATAAATGCCTGGTCATCATAAGCAGCAGCAAATTTATTGATGACAGAAAGTAGGGGAGATCTCTAGGGGTCCCACATGAGTATCTGTCACCCAAGTGGGGAGAAAAAAAAGGGCTTCACCCTATTTTGACACTGCTGCACAAATGCAGCTGACTCCAAATACCAACTTACCATTGGGGATGTATTCTTCACATCAAAGCCATCATTTGGGGAAGTGTGTATCACCACAGCATCTCTTCTGGAAGTGCCTAGACAACAGCAGCAATCAGGGCTACTGACCCCCCTCTTTACCAACCCTAGGTACATTTTATATTAAAGGGAAGCATTAACATTGCATGTTTTGGGAGCAAATACGTATGAATTATTGCTGACAGTTAAGGCAAAGGCATGAATTCCCATCAGGAAGCACGGAACAGTTTTAGGGCTGTGAAGCCTTGCGAAGCCAGGAACATGCCCACTGCAAGGAGAGCTGCTCATATGGCACAGCAGATTTGGATGTTCCCTTTGCCGTCTGTCACGTACTTCAGAGCTTTTATGCAAACTGCCAGGAGACAAGAAAAACATACTATTACTGGGGGAAAATCAAATATTCAATTTGCTAGACAAACTGTAGGGGCCTGAGCTCTGGGTTGTCTTCAGTAATAAAAGTCTTAGTGTTCCTACATAAATATGCTGGTCTAGTCCCAGGCTGATTAGTAAAGAATAATAAGTGTACCTGGCTATCCACAGCCAGTGGGGAAAAAGCTGTGCTCTGAGTGGTTAGCTCTTAAGTCTTTGAGTTTCTGAACACTGATTTTCTGATTGCCTACAATCTACAATGGAATTTAAAAATAGGTTCAATCCCCTCCAATAAACAAACAAACAGATCCCTGCGGTTCCTTTATCAGTGTTCCTCGCCCAGGTTTCTTTTCATCCCCATCCTACCCTGCTCACCCCTGCCCAGCACGGCCACCAGCCTCCTGGGAACCAACGTCTCCAGGCTCACCACGATGACCAAGGAGCAGCAGCACCCTTCTGTGACACCTTGGTGCAGCTTCACTGGGCAGGATGGGAACAAGATACCTTGCCCCAGGGATTGCCACTGCAGCCGTCCCAGGTGGCAGGCTCACCAACAAAGCCATCTGGGGAACAATTTCAGGACTTGATGTAAGGCACATGGAGCAATGCTTCTGCTCCGTTTTGTCAAGGTTTTTTTAAAACAAGTTGAAGGCAGATCTAAGGAGAGACAAAGTCTGGGCCTGATCCAAAGGCAATGAAAAACCTGGAACAAAAAGGATTTCATTGCTCTCATTAAACCCATGTAAGTACCCACCCAGATGGAGTTTTCCCTGGCTGTAATTCCCCTTTAAGCAGCAGCATCTGACAGCAATAGACTCCGACACATACCCTCAAATAATTAAGTTAACATAAAAATATATCAGATGGTTCCCAGCTTCTCCAGAGGCACTGAAATCTGGAGGCAAAAGTCAGCTTATGGAAAAAACCTGGCAGCGAGCAGAGTCCCTGCCTGGTGCTGCCAGGCTGCTCCACAGCCTGCTCTGCTCATACCATGCACACCTGCACCGCGTCCCGGAGGGGTTTGGGAGGAAGACATCTAGAGGAGGAGGGAGAGGAATGACTAAGCAGAGGCGAGAGGCGCTGAGTCACCCACACCCCTGCACCCTCACCCCGAAAGCTGTGCCAGGAGTGGGAGCACTGCCCAAGCACCAAGCATGGCTACTGCTGGACAAGGTTCAGGCATCCTGCCCTAAAAAGCATCCTGTGCTGCCACGTCACGCTCCATTCCATCCCCGAAACTGGGTCCAGCTCTGGCCTGAACCTCTGTTCAGAGAGGGGGCTAAGGGTTCTTGTTTGGTTTGGGGATTTTTTTAATTACTGGCCACAAAGCCCATTGAAACAAAGGGACAAGCTCACGCTCACTCAAGCAAGCTCCGACCCAGACACTGAGCATGAGGCTTGACTGTGAACTCTTTCTTTGGTAAAAGGAGATTCCTTGGACTTCCACCCTTTCCTCACATCTGTCAAGTGCTTTTCTATATTTTTTATAAAATCAAGATGAAATAACATCCGTTCTCCTATTAATCGCTCCTCCAAAGCCGAAAGAGTTTCCCTCTCCGGCGTGCAGGGCACGGAGCTGGCTGCTCCCCACCAGCTCCTCCTGCGGTTGCTTTTACGAAATGCAGACTGAGCTGAAGGTAACGGCTGTGCGTGGACACGGAGAAATACTGCCTAAATCAGGAATTAAAAGAGAGCTTCCAGTATCTGAAACCCTTTATTGACAAAAGGTCGAGTTACAGCAGTGCAGGCATGCCACAGGTTCTGCACACCTCTCCAAGCAGAGCTAGAGCTGCAGCAGGAGCTGATCCTTCTTTGGGGGAGAAATTTGCAGACACAAATGCTACAATATTTCCATCAGTAGAACAGGGTACTTAAAGTGAACAAAACCAAGTCAAGCACCAGAAGCAGCACTGCAGAGAGCATGCTACTTCCAGAGCATCTTCAGCTGTAGGAGAAGTCACAGAGATCACCAGACCAAACCTGCTGCGGGGCACAGGACCGTGCAGGTCACTGCATGGCAAGAGAGCAAAACCCCGAAACCTGCCAGAACTGTCTTCTTTGTTCTTGTGTGTGTGGAGGCAGAGGACTTTCAGGGCACAATTCTGTCTGTTAGGTGAGGGAGAAAGAGTTTGCACAATCTAAGCGTAAGAGTGGCTTGAGTTTCCCCAGGAAATGACTTGGGGTTATTAACACATATTTTTTCCATTGTAAAATGATCTCTGCTCAAATGCTATAACACAAGAAGATCCTAAAAACCCTGCCAGAGCCCTGACTGCTCTAAGTCACTATAATAGCACACAATTTGCACTCTTCCTCCGCTGAAGAAAGCCTTTGATCTCCCCTCTTTTCTTGTGGCACACCATGGTCTTTGTCAGAGATAATCCTCAGAAGCAAAGATCTCAGGCTTACCACAGCACTCCACAAAAGCCTTGACGGCCTTGGATGTACAGCAGGTGAGGAGCAGATTTTCTGGACCCAAATCTATTACACGGTTGTTCGCAATTACATGGCACGAGCCATGGTAGCCCTGGCTGTGCCTTCCCGTGGAGAGCCCGCAGCGTGCCTCTGAGGCAGCCTCCAGCAGAGGCTTCTCCTTCAGCCACAGCAGAGGAACGCCAGAGCAAGGCACTTGCTCATGAGCGCTGCAGTTAAGAGATACAAAGTCAAGTCCCTCCTATGTTCTTTAAATACGAGAGGGTTTTTAAAAACCCACTCAATTACGTTCCTGAAATAATGCTGCCTGAAATATGTTAAGCGGTCGTTTTAGATCTCGGGTAGGGCTCAGGTTCTCCCCAGAAATTCCTCCCATGCCTCCCTCTTAAAAATGTGAGCAGGGAGAGAGAGAGCCCGAATGGTAAATTAAAGTGTACCTGTAAAGTTGTGTTTAAAGGGATGTTTGACTGCAGAAGACAACTGTAAATGTAAGTATTAATGACAAGCTTTCAGAAGAAGTGGATCAAATTTGGTTGTGCTTATAGCTTTGCAGCTCAGGAGTGATTCCACTGAGCTGAGCGGGTTATGCTGCACACGGTCTGTGGGTTTACATAATCCTTCGCACCTGAGTGAAGATTCCGGTTCAGAAACAATTTCAAAGACAGATGAAGACCTATGCGTATTATGGCAGAGAGTAAACATTGTTCCACTGAGCTTCAATTGCCAAGCTGCAGAGATTATATATTAGCATGTTTGTAACTTGAGAAAAGGCTCTGCATGGTGTACGCTATTCATTTGAGCAATGCAACCAGATCAGTCTCTGGTATCCCTGGGGATATTATACTGCAGTTGCTTTCGATACCTCTTTGTCATCCGCTTTCACTACAACATCACATTCCGTTTACAGGCGCTAAACCAACAGATGATAACTTTGAGCCCCTAAGTTTGGGATTAAGAAGTGAATGTATGGATCTCATCTGGCAGCATGTGTTTGGGATCTGACAAACCTCACCCTTGGGCTTCTCCAGAGCTGGCTCAGTCTCTGCCTTTCTCACATGGAAGCTGTATCAAGACCTCTCTGAATTTGGCAAAAGCGAAATACTTTCCTGATGTTTTGCCCAGTGGTCAGTTAAATCTTTTTGCTTCCTGCTGAGCCAGAATCCAATGGCCAGAGCGGTGGCCATGGGGTGACAGAGCCCAAGGACATTGCAAGAGGTGGTGGTGCTCACCTGGGCAGGCAGTCAGTGCAGCTAATGGCAGTCCATCAAAAGGCTGGATCACAGCATCGGTATGTTCAGAGCATAAGAAGCTGATGTATTCTGAGGAGGAGATAAAGAAGGCATTTCCTCCAAAAGAAGGCATTTCATACCTTCCCCATCCAGAAGTCCATAATTCACTCTCAGCAACTGAATTCCAGCAGCATCGTGCTGCAGGAGAACAACAGCTCACAGCACAGTCCCTGACAAGGAGCCTCTGCTTCCAACCACTCTCTCGCTGCCTTCCTCTTGCCCTTCCTCTTCTTGTTTTGAAGCCTGTCACAGCTGAATGCAGTAATTAGAGCTGCCCTGCCATTTTCCAGGATTGCAGCTTTCAGCTCCGCCATATATATGTTGACCTTCACAGCCAAACAATGGAGCACCAGCTATTTATTCGCCAAGCAAACCAAGAGCTTTATAAAAAAAGCCATTGGACATGGCTACTCAAATAGACTGCTATTATCTACTTCCTAATAAGCAGACTATTTAGTTAGGAAATTCTAAAATTAGGCACTGAGCACCTGAAAAAACTTCCTATTCAAAATAGACAATAACACACAAAATGGAGCTGTATTTTAAGGTGGCTGGGTATGTTTTTGTGCATTAGCACAAATGCCACCAAAGGGGAAATTTTGTCCATGAAGTACATTATTAATCATTTTCCCATCGATACTTTTTAGGATATTACAGGAAAAAACACATGGGGATTAACAGATTTTGAAGTTCATAGAAGATAAATTAATCCTTGATTACTTGACTTTGTGTGCAATATGTCCCTGAAGACTTATTCTGACAGTAATTCTGCACTGAACTCAGTATTTCTATTTGATTAAAACACATCTTCCAGCAAGACTCTTGCAGTCCTTTTTTAGACATCTGGTGAAATGGAAAAATCATTTCTCCCAGTAGTTTGTCATCCACACTGCTGCAAAATGTACACCTTGTGTACAAACCAAACAGGAGCCATCAGTATCCAAGGCTCCTGCATCATCCTTTTCTAATTCTGATTGATCACAGTTGTCATACACTCCAAGGCCCAGTTCCACCAGGCTGGGTCTGTTTGTGTGGGTGTGCAGAAGAGACTCGGTGCATTGCAAGAGCAGAGCACCACAGGGGCGAAGTGCATGGTGCCCAAAGAGCAGGCTGCAGAATGACTCCGGGCAGCAAAGTATTTGTTAAGAGTTTAATAGGAGTAAGTTCCCATGGCTACATGTGAGTATCCAACATGTTTAAGAAAACAAGTGTCTTGTGGACTCACTAATGCTTAGCGTTGCTCAATTAAATATTCTTCTACTGGAAAGAAAAACGGGAAATTGAAATTGGGTACTCAGTAAACAGATTAAGTAATTCTCTGCTTAGAAGAATGTATCACTGCTTGTCTCTGGCATCTTCTGGGACCAGTCAAAACAAAGCAGGCAACACGGCAGACAACAAAATGCCTATTCTATTCCTTTTGGCCCTCCATCCCAGCCGTTAAATGAGGGCAGAAGACAAAACAGAGTAGAAAAGGGCTTCAAAACAAAAAGGAGACAGGACTGCAAAAGTTGCATGCAACCTAATTCTCAGAGATGGTCTATTTATGCCAACTCCGGATCTTACTTGAAGTCTGTGGCAGTCGATCCCCTTGCCTGCCATGCAGGCAGGATTTGGCCCTGGTAAAGTATCCGCCTGCATTCCCAGCTGCTCGGTCCAGCTGCCGCAAAGGAATGCAGGGCTGCCGAGGGCGCTGGCACGGGATCGAGGCCGAATTTTGAGTGAAAAAAGATCTCCGTCTCAGCACCTGGATGTCAACTTTGTCTTTTAGCTGAAGCTGATAAAGCTAATCCCTGCCTGACAAAAAATCAGTTGAGTTTCTTCTCCCTCACCAGCATTCAGTTTGTATTGGAACCAGCTATTTTATTGAATTGAGTTTTAGGCATTCTGTAGGGCTTTAGAAACAGACACGTACATGCAGGAGCTGGGTAGCAAAGCAGAGTTATGTGTGTGCTTATTAACTTACTGCAAATTAGAGCCGAGTAGTCAATACAGTATTTTAAAGGGCTATATCCTGCTCCAACAGGAGTCAACAAGAGTTTCACCACTTTGTAGCATGCTACAGGGACTCAGATGACAGGGATTAAAACAAGCAAATAAGCACAGAACAGTCATTTTAGCAGGCTGGATGCAAGCAGAAATGTTTGAAGGCATCAAAGACAGTTAATTCCTATCGGAAATCAATGGGAGCTGAGGAAATACAGCTCTCCTGTACCCTTGGAAAGCTGTCCCTTAACTGTGGATTGCCCTGATCTCTGCTTTCTCTAAAACAAGATTGAAGTGGAAGGTGCTCATTGATTTTGCAGCTACCCCCGATTTCCTATCTAACGCTTTGGAAAAGTTGTTTCTGTCAACCTCATTCATCACCATCTGTACTTCACACCCGTCAAGTGAATCAGCTGCCACTGAAGCCCAAACTTAAATCTCACCATAATAATACTGTGATATTTAGAGTAAGGGGAACCCATGTCCAAAATACAAGCTACTTCCAGGCAGGCAGGCAGGAAGGAAGGAAAGAAGGAAAGAAGGAAGAGAAAGAGAGATAAAGAGAGAGAGAAAGAGAGAAAAGGAAAGAAGGAAAGAAAGGAAGAAAGGAAGAGAGAAAGAAAGAAAGAGAAGAGAAAGAGAGAGAGAAAGAGAGAAAGAGAGAGAGAAGGAAAAGAGGTGGGGGGGGGAGGGAAACGGGGAGGAAAAAAAAAAAGAAGAGGCTGTTTCAGCCCCAGTTTTGAGTGTCTCCACCTCGGTCGGTCTCTGAGCGCACCTCACCGCCGAGCACCGCGTCTCGCACCGCGCCCGGAGCCGCCTCAGCCGGGTGGCCTCGGGCAGGGCAGCGAGCGGCTGGCGGGGGCAGCGGGGAGCTCCGGGAGCGGGGGGCGCAGCCGGGGCCGGGACCGGGATTAGGACCCGGGATTAGGACAGGGGCCGGGGCCAGCAGCGGGGGTCGCCCCCGCCTGCTGGGGAGCCCCCCTCTCGCCGTCCCCCCCGCGCCGCTCCGCGCCCCCAGCGGGCCGGGGGAGGGAGGAGCGGGGCGGGGGGCAGCGGCGGCCCTTCCCCGGGGGCTGCCCTCCCGCGGGGGGCGGAGCGGCGGGGCCCGGAGCCTCGGAGCGAGGGGCTGCGGGGCCGCCGCCGCCGCCCATGGAGCCCAACGGGACGGCGGCGGCGGGGGGCAACGGGACGGCGGGGGGCGGCGGGGGCGGCGGGGGAAGCCCCCCCGGGGGCGGAGGCCCCCTGCTGATCCCGTCGGCTTTCGGGACGGTGCTGTCGGTGATGTACGTGGCCGGGGTGGCGGGCAACGTGTACACGCTGGTGGTGATGTGCCACTCGGCGCGCTGCGCCGCCCCCATGTACAGCTCCATCGTCAGCCTGGCCCTGGCGGACCTGCTGTACCTCTCCACCATCCCCTTCATCGTCTGCACCTACCTGGCCCAGGACTGGTACTTCGGGGACCTGGGGTGCCGCATCCTGCTCAGCCTCGACCTGCTCACCATGCACGCCAGCATCTTCACCCTCACCCTCATGTGCACCGAGCGCTACCTGGCCGTCACCCGGCCCCTGGACACCCTGAAGAGGTCGCGGGGCTACCGCAAGGTGACGGCGGGCGCCGTCTGGTCGGTCTCGCTGCTGCTGACGCTGCCCATGATGCTGATGGTCACCCTGACGGAGGGGAGCAAGGCGGAGGGCAAGGTGAAGAGGATGTGTGCGCCCACCTGGAGCGTGGACGCCTACCGGACCTACCTGACGGTGCTGTTCAGCACCAGCATCATGGCCCCGGGAATCATCATCGGCTTCCTCTACACGCGCCTGGCCAGGACCTACCTGGAGTCCCAGAGGAACCCGCCCCACAAGGAGAAGAGCAAGAGGTCCCCCCGGCAGAAGGTCCTCATCATGATTTTCAGCATCGTCCTGGTCTTCTGGGCCTGCTTCCTGCCTTTCTGGATCTGGCAGCTGGTGCGACTCTACAGCAGCTCCCTGCAGCTCACCACCCAAACCCAAAAGTGCATTAACTACCTGGTGACCTGCCTGACCTACAGCAACAGCTGCATCAACCCCTTCCTCTACACCCTGCTCACCAAAAACTACCGGGAGTACCTGCGCAACCGGCACCGCAACTTCTACAGGTTCACCTCCTCCTTCCGCAAGCGGGGCTCCAACCTGCAGTGCTCCTGGGGACGCTCCATGTCCTCCAGCAACCAGTACGACTACAGCTCAGAGGCCCTGGGCATGGCCACGCTGAAGGACAAGTGAGGAAGAGGAGGCTCTCTGGAGACATCAGGACCAGAAGAGCGTCTGGCCAAGGTAGGGCTTTGGGACCCTTTTGCGCTGAGGGGTCCTAAGAACTCGTTTCTGGTGGTCACTATAGGTCAGGGCACAAAGTCGTGTGACCTCAGGTACTGTAAGATGCTTTTCAGTTTTTTGGGGCTTAGGGCTGTCAGGGGGGTCCTGCCATCCGCAGGTGTGGATGAATCCTTCTCTGGTTTGGGTGCAGAAGATGAGTTGGATACTTTGTTCGGTTCTTTGGCAAACTCTTTTCAAGCTTTGCTAAGCTCTGGCTCTGCTCCGGTTCTCCTGTGTGATTTCTCAGTGCTGTCCTCCGGCTATGGCTGGACCAGATCCACAAAGGTCTGAAATTGTCCTGGGACTGCTTAAAGTAGCTGCAAGCCCTGGGTTTGCCCTATATATATCTGTTATCTGTTCACAGTGTGTATAAGGAGACCTTTAAGCCCCTTTTTCTATTTCCTATTATATTGTAGTGCACTACAGTTTGATCAAAGTCTCTATTTTAAAATTCATTGCAGCAGCGCTGCAAACTCCAAGCATTTAAAACCCACGAGGTAAGCTGTCAGAAAACACTGGGTTATCTAAAAAGGCATGTCATATTTTAACTTTTCTACCCAAGATGATTTTAATCTGCCACTGATTTTAAGTTGGTCCCTTTCTCTACAGTCAACAGAGTTTGAAAAACTGAAAATTTATCTCAGAAAGGAAAAAAGAACATTCTTATAATCCTGTCACTCAAAGAGCTGAGGCTCTAAAAAAATGACTGAGACCTGTACTGTGAGACTCATCATAAAAAGGACAAACTTAATCCTGGCAAATCTCACCGAAAGTATTTTGCTTTGATGTATTTTGCTCATTCTCTTTCCACTTAACATCTAGTGGTAAACCTCCACCATAGATGCTAGCGATGCCTGTCAACTATAAAACTTCAGTTCATAAAATAAATTATGATTAAGAAGTGGACCATGTCAGGTTTCCCCTCCCACGTTCTCTTCACCCAGCCCGAGGGGTTCGTTAAGCAGGGGAGAGGCTGCTGCTCTCAGCTGTGCTCTAAGGAGCTCATTTAAGTGGGGATAAAGTTGTGTTCAAGCCATCTGCCCCGACTCTGGGGATAACTAAAGCACAGCAAGAGTTGCATAAACTGTTGTCAGCAGCTGGCAATGTCCAGGGACTTCTGAAACAACAGACAGCTGCTTAAGGAGCAGTCATTTCCACTTTTTTATGGCACCTCCCTACCTCGACCTGACTGAGAGGAGGAACTCAGCAGCCCTACGGTGGTACTGGGTTTCTGTGTCCTTGGGTGATCCTCTCACAGCATGTGCCAAGCTTTAGGGTACGTCTGTGCTCAAGCAGAGACACAAAGTGCCTACACAGCAGCCAAGGATGGGGAGCAGAGAACACAGCATGGCTACATGCTGGATTTTATGCATAAAAGCAAAAAAATAACCCCCTCAGGGCACGTGCTGGACAAAGAGCAGGGAAATAGGTTCCTGTGCCCAAAGTCTGGCATTCTTCATATAGGCGGAGTTTTTGGGGTGCTTTTCAGGAAGGGGCAATAAGGAACTCACCTTAGCATTGCTTACATGACTTTTCATCACAGGACTTTCTTCAAAACGTTTGCGACCCACTTTGTGATGTTCCAGCGTTGTGCAGACTGCCAAGCTGGGTGGTAGAAAGGGATGTGGCGGTGCCAGCTTCCTTACAAATGCAGGGGACTAAAACACAGCTCTTGCTGGGAACTGGCAGGGCAGAGTGGGCTTCAACAGTTGTAGAGAACTTTTCAGGAACTAATTCATTTCTTTTTATTATTAATTCTGAAGCCATTGTTCCTTTCCCTTTGCTTCCCATTTCCGAGGCTGGAAGTCACTCCCCTGTAAGAATAACACAGATAAGACTTAACTCAAAGGGCGGTGTGGGAAGGCTGGAGTGCATGCGTCATCCACAAGGTGTGCCACGCTGTGCTGCTCATGGAGCACAAGAAAAACCTGACACAGTCCTGGTGTGTCTTGATTTCCAGTGCTTGGCCTCAGGAGAAGGTCCTTGAAAGCCACTGTCCCACCCCAGCATTGCAAGGCAGCCGTAGGACGGATGGTTATCCAGTATGAAATAGCGTATATCTGTTAGCAGCCATGCAGGGAAAGCAAAGGATGGAAGAGCGGTGTAGGTGTCAAAAAGAGCATTGGGGAATACACTTCCTGCCTCAACAACCATGTGCTAAAATATCTGGTGCCAAACAGCCTAAAACCATAGTTAGTAACGAGAAGGGGGAGCTGGAAGAGAGCTGTGCTTGAGAAAAAAAAAAATAAAAAAAGAAAAAAGAAGAGTGGGTTACATACACAGTCCTACCAGAGTGAGTGGATAGCCAACAGAAGCGTTTGGTTAGGGTGGGCTGCGCTCCACGAGCTGTCCCCTAGCAGGCTCCTGCTGCCCCGCTGAGCAGCACACGGGGTGCACACTTTGTGCCATAGCATTGGAGCTGCTGACACCAAAGGGCTGATGGAGAAGCACCCAAATGAAAGACCAAGTATGAGGTATTCTTCGCTGTCAAGTTTCTTGACCAGCTTCAGCCCATCCCATCTCGGAGCCGCTCCCCTCACCTGTCAGGCTCTGATGAACCCACGTGAGGTTCCTCTAAGGAGAGACCCAGTAAATTTGATGACACCCACAAAGCATGTCATTCGGGCAGACAAGAGCCTATTTAATAAGCAGAACTGGCCAGCGATCAGAAGACACTGCTGTGTGTAATGAATGGCAGCCCTTCAGCAGCTCAGCATGTGGCATCCCCCTGCCTGCCGCGGCCCTTTGCAAATGTGATTCCTTGGGATCCTCTTGTACTCCCGGGGATCAGAGCTCAATTTAAGAGATAAATTTGTGTAAACAACATCTCTCTTATTGTCTCATCGGACCAGTTAAACTGCCAAAAGTCAGTAGCTTTGACCCACTTAATAAATATCCTGCAAGAGCAGATGCGTTAACCGAGTTCCTCTTGTCTGTAACTGCGGAAGCTTTGGCAGTTCTCAGTATGCTCACATGTTGGAAACAGGCATAAAGTCTTCATATATCTTCCTTTAACAAAAAAACGGGGTAGTTAACTTTGGGATTGCTGCTGCCAGCCCATAGCACAGAGCTTTGTCCGGGGCTGACACAACCTGTAAGCTCCCATATGGGGTAGCTCTGCCTGCTGCTCACCCAGAGTATTTTGGGGAGGACTTGGGACTCCGCTCTTTGGGGTTGGTGGGATCTCAGTTCATAAGCACACAGTCAATGCAGGCCCCACAAAACTTCTGTACAGCAGCCCAAGCTATTTTCTGTATGAGGCAGGAGCATTACCTGTCCAACACTGAAAAAAAGAATGAGTCAGGGCTCCCAAAATCATGAGATAAAAAACACACCAGCTCTCCACAACCAGAGAGGTTACAAAATCGTTTCATACGGAAACTGGGAGTCACATAACCAGAATCCAGATGATGAGGCTCTGGAAACTGCAAGCATCTTATTATTTAGGTAAACTTGAAGCATCTCAGCTTGGGATGAAATAACAGCAGGGAAGTCCATCGGGCTGTAACTAAGCAAAATGCTGTGAATTATTTTAAAACAGCATTGCTTTGGCTATTCTCCTACATTTCAAGCAGGCAAGATGTGTGTGCCCTATGCAATTCTACTGCAGGTTTAGCAACATAGCTAGTCTCTAAACGGGAGATGGTAATTTTAGGAAAGATGACAGTATTTTTGTCGCTGGGACAGAGGTTGTCACTGCAAAACTCCATATGGGCTTTATAGGAAAGAAAACATCTTAACAGCTTAATCACTAGAAAATCTTCTCCAACATCCCTTGGTATTAAATCTGTATGCCCCACTCTGTTCCTCCCCAGCTCACCAGAAAGAGCAGGCTGTGAAAGAAAAGCAGCTTCATCCTGAGTGCTCTTTCCTTCCTTTAATCTAAGGTAGTATCTACTGCAGCAACAGCAATTTTTCTGTTTTCACTTGAAAAAAGAAAAGGCAGGTCCTTTGTGGGACAAGTGAGAATACCTGTTTTCCCCATGCTCAGGAGAATACATTTGAAGCTTACTGACTTTTTGCAGACTTCACCTTGTATCACACATCTTTGCTCATCTTCCTCCCCACTTTTTAACAACACATTTGCCATAAACGCTTGAAAGCCCCACATTACAGTTTAATTGTGTATGCAAGCAAATCATTAACATTTGAACTCCTATTTAGCAGTCATTTTGGGTGCCTATTGTGTGATGGAATACCAGGAAAGGCAGTGGAGGTGATTTTATGAGTGCTTTGTACCTCTCACGGCACGCTGCCCAGTTCTGTTAGCCCAGGAGATCAGGCAGGGTGACAAGGTTGCTCTGCTCAGAAGCAAATACAGAATCTGTTCCCCCAGCAGCATCCGAATAGAAAGTGCACGAACTTTGTATCTGAGCCCAGCCCCTGAGCAGTGGAAGCAGATAACGCACATTTCAGAAACGCTGGTCAGCCCCGGAAAGTTGGCCGTTGTGTTTTGGAGTCCCTCTGGTGGCAGGAGCAATCTTCCCTCCTGAGGTTCTCAGGAAGGAAATTTGCTTTTTATTTCAGGTTTTAAAATGTAGCAGTTGCACAGAACCTGACTACATAACAACACTTAATTTACTGAAAATATAATGTTGCCACAACATCTCCTGAGCAGAACAAGTCTGTTAGGCAGAGAAAACCCACTCCCAAGCGCTAACTTTGCTCTCCCACCTTTCTTCCTGTGCCGAACCCAGACTAACTTTATCCCTATCATTTTGCACAGCAGCCTTGCTGGCAGCACCCACGGAAACACCCAGAGCTGGTGACTAACTACAGCTTAGCCCAGCTGCGGATTGCTTTTGCCACATAATATTGGTTGCTGTTGTCAGTTTCAAGTTTTTCAGAGGAATTGGAGAGACTCGGAGTTAATTGCTATGGCTTGGAAGAAATAAATTGCTTTGTCTTCCGAACTGTAGCAGCAGCTTCACAGAAAATAAGTGCTCTTTTAAAATTATTAT